GCTTGTTGTAGTGTCCGACGCTACCGGCAAGGAGGACACCGTTGGCGGTCAGGTTCTGGACGACCTTTTGGTATTCTGCGTTGTTGTTCTCGATCGCTTCGCGGGGGATAAGACGACCACCGAACTGGTAGCGCGTCACCTCAAGGTTGCCTTGGGGAAGAGGTCCCATGTAGCGGTCGTAGTGGTCGCGGTAAGACAGCTCGCTGTAAGCAACGGCCAGAGTGATGCCGAGTTCCTCCTGGAGGGCCTTGGTGAAGGGCGCAAGGACGACGTCGCGAACGTAGGCAGCAGTCGAGTTCCAGACAGTCAAGGGACGAAGGACAAGGAACTGGGCGTTGTGGAGGAAGACAACGAAAGCGCCCTGGTCTGTCATGGCGGGCAGCAGCTCGTGGAACTTGGAGACAGCGGCGTTGAACTTCTCGGGCGTGGTCGTTGCGGCGAGAAGCTGGAAGGCAGCACCGCCGACGGTCTGGGCTGGGTAGGCGCGTACGGTCATGCCGGTGACGACGCCGAAAGTGCCACCGCCGCCACCGCTGAGGGCCCAGTACAGATCGGTGTTCTGGGTCGCAGAGGCGACGACGGTCTTACCGTCGGCGGTGACTACTTGGAAGGCGAGGGTCTGATCGGCTCCGAGACCGAATTGAGTTGACAGGGCAGAGTGACCACCTCCTTGAGTGAAACCGCCAGCAAGACCGACTGTGGCGCATTCACCAGAAACGACAGCAAGACCCTTTGCATGGGCAGCCTCGAGGATCTCGTAACCGAGGACACCGGCACCGACATTAACGGCCGGACCAGTGTAGTACTTGTCAGACCATGTTGAGAAGTCAATGGTCTTCAAGTGGTTGGTCCAGATTGCAAGGGCTCCGGCACCGGTAGAACGTCCAAGGAAGCTAAAAAGAGGAACTTGTTAGCTACTTTGGAGCGGGACTTGTAGTTGATGTCAGGCTACTCACTCATGACCGGTGTTGCGGACGACGACTCGGAGGTTGTTAAGCTTGGCAAACGTGAGAGCAAGGCTGACGTCTGCGGTGCAGCGGACATCGACAGCATAGCTAACATAGTTGCCGAGGGTGCAGGGAACAGCTCTGTCAGTAAAAGGGTCGCAGGACTGGTTGGCAAAGTAAGATTGCATAACAGATGACGAGGAGGGAATGCTAAAACAATCATGTCAGCAACACACTCCGTCTGGAACAGGTTGGTTGAGGGGGTAAACCGAGGAATAGACGGGACTTACTGTGTCAAGGGGTTGGTCCAGGATGACTGCAGAGCAGCACAAGCCGCGGCATCGTACGTAGGATCATGGCAGGGCGATCCAATGGGCTTGGTGGCGACCAGACGCCCACCAACGGTTGCGTTGAGCAGGTTCCAGGCGGTGACCGAGGGCCAACAAGAGTCACCGGGCAGGCAGTGACATTGCTGCTTGGGGGTTGCTGCAGCTGTTGTGATGGTAGCCAAGGCGGTGGCTACGGCCAGATAAGAGAGCCTCATGTTGATGACTTGAGTTGGGCAAGCAGTCAAAAGGCCTAGAGATGGGAGAGGAGGTGGAGGGAGAAAGAGTGAGGGGTGGGTGACAGATTAGGTGCAAGCCACGAAAAGTGTGACTGGTTCTGGAACTCATATATCCCTCGCATCCATCATGCGGGATGCCAACATCTCTACCCCTGGAAGCACGAGGGCCTCGGCTTTTCGAGATGGATGTAGACTCCGCCTCCTCTCGAACTTGATACGGATTGTATTGGCAGCATTGCAACTGCGTTATCCAGAGTCGTATGTGGCAACTGCGTTGGAACTGTGTTGGTAATCTCCAGATCGATAGACTCACGGCTGCAATGCCCCAAACCGGTCCGACTGACAGTCTGGAGTACGCGGACGGGAAGAAACCATGTCGGCCGAGACAGGGCTTTTTCGGGGTCCCCTTCATAAGAATGATGGAACTTCCTATTAAGGCGTGTGACATCCGATGAGCACCCGCATTCTTTCTGCGCAACCGTGGGGCCGGAGTCGACCGGGGTGAGGGACAGAGAACGGATGAGACACCAGACGGCCCCGACAATGACAAGCCCAGTGTCAATCTGTTCGTGGGGGCCGACTAGTTCTTGGTCTCCCCCAGCTTGAAGCCACGGAGCCCACAGATCTAAATGAAGTCCCAATGATTAAGGTTGAATTAAACAGAGACTAAAACGACAACACGAGCTTCTCCTGCATTCTAGCTCCAAGACGGCGGCTTCAAGCGCTTCTCATCGCAATTACCATAGAAGCCACCGCAACAGGTATGGGGAAAAAAAGCCACCGCTACCGAATCCAATACCGAGTCAAAAATTGCGCCACTGAAGGAATATTCTCCAACGATTCCTTCACCCGCGATCTAGTAACGGGACTAATTTCCGAGACCCAGACGTCAGCCGCTGCTGTGCCGCCGGTGATTTCGATGCATTGCTGCACCTTTTTTTCCTGCAGGGGCTGCTTGGCCGGGGGCGCGAACGACGGGGTTGGTTCCCGTTTGGGGGAAGCCAAGAACCCACCAACCAGAAAACCAGACGGCTAGTTCGGAAAAGTTCCAGCTAAAGAGGGGGGCAGTATCAGCTTTCCCTAACGTACCCTAGTCTCGAAGGAGGACTTCGTAGACAAGAGCTCCGAAGTAGCTGCATCGGTTGGTGTCGCAGAAAGTGTTGGACCAAAGGAACAGCGTATCATCGTCCCCTCGAAGCGAAGGGAGAGTCGGGTAAAGTGGTAGACTAAGGGACTAGTGGTCAGTTATGGCGCCCTTGGGAATTCCTCGACAAGAGTTGGCGACTTGGCGATGAACCAAACCTGGGAGGTGGCCGGTCTGCCACATGGAGGACCAGGAATGTAATCTATGCAAGAAGCCCGTCTGATTTCATTTATGAACAGAAGATCTTCCGGATCTCTGGGAATCCTCCAAGACGGAACCGCTGCTGCCCTTGCCCGCCCGTGAACAACAATGGCATCCTTCTTCCGCCTCGCGTTGGCGTTGCTCCTTGGCATCCTCGTCGCCGTACAGGCGCAGGAGACAACGATTTCTGCCACCAAGCTCACTTACCCAGCATGTGCAGTAAGTTTACTTTTCTTCTCCCTTGGACCATTTTGACATCTCGGGGCGCCGTTGGGAAAACCGTTGCAGGAAAGTGACTAACCGGCTGGGCATTTTCCCACAGACAAAATGCATAGCTAGCGCTTTTGGTGGCGGCTACTGTGCTCCCACAAACCAGACTTGTATTTGCACGAACCAACAATTCCAACTAAACGTCACGCTGTGTGTCTCGGCAAGTTGCACGATACCAGAAGCTCTCGGTAAGTCCCTACTTCTCTCTGCCTTCCGTTGATGAATATCACGAAGGCTTACTCGAATTCACTACAGCCACGAAAAATGCGAGCTTGACAAATTGCGGCGCTCCCGTGCGCAACCGATCCGGCGAATATGTCGTCCTCTCCAACGTCATGGCCATCCTGGCAGCGGTCTGCGTTCTGAGCCGCTTCGGATACAAGATCTTTCTCGCTGGACTCGACGTCGGCTGGGATGACTGGTTCGTGATGGCGACGTTGATCGCAGCCATGCCGAGCGCCGTCATCACAGTCCATGGAACCACAGCGAACGGCCTGGGAAGGGACATTTGGACGTTGACGCCTGAGCAAATCACCAATGTCCTGTTTTACTTCTACATCATGGCTTGGCTGTACTTCTTGCAAGTGACGCTGGTCAAGCTGGCCATCATCTTCTTCTACATGCGTATCTTTCCCGCGCGAGAGGTGCAGCGCGTTCTCTGGGCGACGACAATCTTCATCATTGTCTGGGGATTCGCATTCGTCATCACTGCAGTTTTCCAGTGCAAGCCGATTCACTACTTCTGGGTCAAGTGGGATCGCATGCACGAGGGTAGTTGCGCAAACGCAAACGCCATCAGTTGGTCCAACGCCGCAATCAGCATCGCGTTGGATCTATGGATGCTCGCAATCCCTCTTTGGCAGCTAAGGGCTTTGCGACTGCACTGGAAGAAGAAGGTCGGAGTCGCGTTGATGTTCATCGTGGGCACCTTGTAAGTTTCTTGACTCGCGCGCACTACCAAGACCTGGGGTTACTGGGTCTTGAACTGTTTCTTCCGTGCAGGAAAAAAACAAAAAACTAACGTCGCATCAGTGTCACCGTCGTGAGCATCATCCGATTGCAATCCCTTGTCGACTTTGCAAAGGGATCCAACGCTACCATGGACTTTATCGATGTTAGCGTGTGGAGCACGATTGAGATCTGCGTAGGCATCATGTGTGCGTGCTTGCCGTCCATCCGCATGATCTTGGTCAAGATCTTCCCGGCCATGTCCGGTTCGACCCTTCGTAGCAAGGGACGACAGTATTACCAGCAGTACGGGAGCGACATCAGGTCAAAGAATGCCGCCCAGCGCAGCCAGGCTCGAACTGTTGGTGTTGTCACCGTGGACAGATCTAACTCCGTTCACGATGCGCACGACCGACAGATCAAGTTCCAGAAGACGTTTACGGTATCCTATAGTGATAGCGACGAGGCAGATCTTGTGCCGATGAACAATCTCCAGAAGCCGGGAAGAGTTCATCGCTAGTGGATTTCAGAATCTGCTATTCGAGCGGGTGTTCGCGAGAGAGAATCTATAGAAATTTTGAAATGATTCGTGTTCTAAAAACCATACTACGATCAATGCGATCGAGCTACAGTGCCGATCGCGATTTTGGAGAGCGCTAATGACTCGACATTGAACGAGGCCAGGGTCACTGGCAGGGCTGCAAGGGACTCATGAGACTCCGCGCGTATCCGTATTGGTGGGTATTGCTGATCCCAGCTACTCACTGCCGAGGTGACCGAAAGAGAGAGCATTACCTTTGATTCCACATCTCCGATTTCCTGGTAATCTGGCTTCAAGTTTTTATCCGAGCCTAGGTATTGTCCCGAAGATCGACATTCTAAACGCAACTTCTCTGAGTGAAGAATCTAATCTCAACCTTGGCGCTTATTCCCGGACCTCGTCCTCCGCATCCATGAACTCATCGTCAGACGACACCTCACCATCACTCGGATCAATAGAAACATGGCTCGCCGTAGATCTTTTCCTATGGCCCCACTCGTATTCAGATGCAACTATCGTCGATTCATCGTCGGCGTCTTGCCCCGTCAGATCCCGAACCGGCAACTCCTGGCCTCGTGCAGAGTTCATCAATGAGACCCATGCAAGCTTCTCTGATCCGAACGGCTTGCGGGCAACGGCGCAGTGGTTGTCGCGACATCTGACGAAACACTCGTTGGGAGTGTGCCCATCTTTGTCTCTGAACGCCGTATTAACGCCACAGAGATTGGCGGATGCTAGGATGTCCATCGCCTCTGTGCTCCCATGTAAAGCTGTCAGGTGGAGCAGGCTCCTCTTGTTGTTGTTCAAGAGGCTCAGTTTCTCGGGCTGCACCAAACTTTCATTAGGCACTGGAGGTTGCAATTCCTGGCAAAAGAGATAATTTGACAGGATCGCGGTTATCGCCGGGTTCCCACGAGATGGCTTGAGTTACCCCTGATAGTACCGCATACGGACTACCTTATCTCAAATAGTAAAGTGGAAGACTCACCGGGAAGCCCTGAAGGTAAGGAGCCATTACCCTCAATACTGCAAGGCTGTTGTTTGCGATGGCTTGCCCGAGCGGCGTGTCGCCTGTATGATTCCTGGTAAGTAAGGAGTGACCGTTTTCTCTCAGTAGAATCTCGACGAGGTCTTCCTGATCAGACACACAAGCATGATGCATAATATTCGCCGCTTCATCATCGCTGATGTGCACATCAGCCCCCTTGCGCAACAAGTACTTCAGTATCTCCGGACTACTCATGTGCATCATGGGTGTTCGCATGTGCTTATCAAGGGCATTGACGTCGATCCCTACGTCGAGCAGTGCAACGATGCTATCAAAATCGTCCGCCCAGCATGCACAGTGCAGCGCTGTGAATCCACAAAGGTCTCTGGCTTGGACATCGGCGCTCCATGGGTCCTGAGTAATGAGCCGGATGGCGTCCGATTTGCCGTTCTCAGCTAGCCAGTGGAGCGGAGTCCGGCCGAGGATGTCCTTCGTGTTGATATCTGAGTACTCGGATTCTCGCAGAAGGGCTTCCGTTATTTCCTGGCCATGTCGCGTTCCCAAAGCGGCGACTTTGTGAAGATTAGTCCAGCCTAGCCGATCAGCAAGATCGTCCGTGTCAACTGGGAGGTTGTATTCTTGGCTTCCTCTGCGAGTAAGAACAGTGATGGCTGCGGACTTTTGATTTTCATCTGCGAGATTCTCGTCCATGCCTTCGTTTTTGAGGAAGTTGAAGACGGCTGGCTGATGGATCTTAGCAGCGACCTGGCATTCAAGATGGTAAATTAGCACGATTCCGCAGTATTCCACAAGGTACGTCGGAATGCAATTAGAGGACTCTTACGTGCATAATGGACTGACCCCATTGATTCCTGACATACATCAGATTCCGATCTTTCGATAATAACTCTCGCAACTGCCCGAGATTTCCGGCCATGACGAGCGGCCAGACAATATGGTCCTCTTCCGGGACGACCAGCGGCACGTTGAGTGAAACCTTTGCCCCAACATCGAAGACGTTCTCCAGGTTAATAGAAGCCATTATCGCTCTCGAAACTAGCCAGGGTGGGAAGTAGCAGGTGATGTTGTGTTTGCTCAGGCTCTTCCTACACGGTGCATAGTTGCAAGATCGCATTGATATCGACGAGTCGAAACTCCAGTGGAGCTGGCCAACGACGTTTCTCAGCCATGGGGGTGTGCGAACAGCTGCCCGGGTGTGACATCGGCATCGGCACCCTCGCGGGCATCGATGCGAGTTTATACTCGCAGAGATGAGAACAGCTGGGCTGTTGGCTGATACCCCACTGTTGGCCACTTGTAAATCGGACTCGCTCGTCGATAATTGTCCTGGACTCAGGCTCTGGGCCTGCTCAATCAGCGGCTGCATGGAACAAATGAGATTATTTTGCATAGCGTTGAAACTCCGAAAGCCGATATGAATGTCTTTTTGAGTTTTCTGCTGTTGCTCTTGCAGGGCACAAATGGCATTATGGCTTGCGACTGTTACACTCTGGATTTGAAGGACTGTTGTTTTGAGGAGCTCTCTGTTGCAGGATAAGCATGCCAGCTTGGCTTACGAAAATCGTTGCATCGATGGCTTACTTACTTGTCATCTAGTTGAAGTAAATCGAGTTGAGTCCGTAAAATATCGCATGAATCTCGAATGTTCATCTTGATGCGCTGTATATCGGTCTCTGATTGCAGCATCCTTGCTCGCTTAACCTTGGTAATAACATTTCCATCCTCGGTTTGCCGACGCGAAAGTCGGGTGCTAAGGCATTAAGAAAGACCATTAGTTCTCATGTACTACAGCTAAGATAGCGACGTGATTATTTGTGACCACCCACTGAACTAGCAATTCAAACTCTGCCACGCGCTCTTTGATGGCATTGAGGACATGAATTATGGATGGTGGTATTGGGTCTTCATGACTATCTCTGTGCCGGCTACGGAGACAGGCCTCTGTATCTAGAAGTAAACCTGAGTCTAGATTAGCGCCTCTGGACTGATGCGTATCAAGCTGCAGGGTAAGCTCAACTCACCTCGTAATATCTCGGCATCGGTAATGAGCTGCTTGAATATTTCCGGTGCTTCCCGTAATGACTTGAGCGCGCCTAAAGCTAGCCCTGAGCCTTTTCCAGTCAGTTGAAGTATCGTGAGGATGCTGGTAGTGATCGACAAGGGATCCATTTTGGCGCGATGTTGTCCGCATCGTTCTATTGAAGATTACGAGGGGAATCCTTTACACCTAAAGTGGGAAAGGTCTGCACTTCTATGAAGCACATACCGCCAGGACAATCGGGATTTGGAACCACTTCCGGCTTCTCTAAGAGATGAAACAACTTTCAGCCCTCTTTACTTGTATTACACCAGAGGCAGGCTATGATGTGAAGGGTGGTCAGCCCATTTCATGTGGCAGCGTCGGCAATGGTTATCAACGCTGAAGCCGGAACAGCGGGCCAAACACAATGGCCGTTACAGAACGTGGTACAGGTCGTTCCATGGTGTTCAGTTACACAGAGTGCCAACAGAGCGACCAGGAGTGAGATCCTTCGGCTTGACCTCTCCAGTGTGGCTGCTAAGGTAGTTGAGTAAAGTCCCTACCAAAAACAGTGTGGTCAAGACGTGTCATCCTGCCTCAGTGGTGTACTAGAAGGCCCTCATAGTGGCTGGTTTAATTCAGGGCGTAAATTCGTTGGCGACAATCATTCGCAGTAGAACCCGGTCTCAGTGAACATCCGTCAAGCTTCGGTGAGCAGGAATTGGGGATGCAATTGGCCATTATACCTTAGGGCTTGGTATCACCGAGAAGGAAATATAATTGACTGGTGACTGGCTCATGGGGGCGCCTTTACTGATCTCTTGGTGACTATGAATATCCAAATTGTTAGAAGTAGAATTGACAGAAAGGTAAAGAGTCCCCCAGCATGATCGCCTTGCTTCGTGACTCTTACGAGATGGACAGTGTCATGGGAGATGCATTGTCACTCACGATCGATGATTGGAGCAAATGGATATTTCCATTTCCAACCCCCGAAGATATTGCTTGGCGCCGCGCCGCCCATCATATTTCGATCCACCTCCGGTCGAAGGAAGACCGGGCGTGCTGGTAGAGCCCTAATACATCGCCCGGACCTTTTGGTCAGGTTGGTAGTAGTTACACAATGATCGTCTAAGTCTTATTGGTTGGCGTTTCGCGAGAGATGGAATAGCCGCCAGCCTCCAGAAATTCACCAATTCGAGGACGGGAAGTTGCGCATGTTGGGTCACATGATATCAGAATCAGGCAACCACCTCACCGTGATGACACTCGCTTGCCCCGCATTCTTTTTGCTCCTTTTGCACGTTTATCCTGAGCTCAAAGGCGAGGCTTTCGGTCGAAGCTTGACGTCATCCAACCATTTCAGAAATGAAGCAACTCAACGCCGTGATAACAGATTTATCTGTCACATTCTGTGCCTCACCTGGCGCCCCAGCCGCCTGCCCTCTTGAAAAGCAGACATGGAATCGACTCGAGAAAGATCTCTACCTTCACGCAGGCCACCAGACAGCATGGTTATACCTTGAAGAAAGGGACAAGGCCGATGTCGCCAATGACGATCGCGTCATCACGGATATTTGGGTTGGCGCGACAGAGCCTCCCAGTGATGCCAAGGACAGCTGGGAGCAACGACCTTGCGGCATTTGGATCCTGAGAAGCTACTACACTGATCACGAATTGAGAACGTTGACAGGTATTGACGTTCTTTTCGGAACGGATGCTGTCGACCCACGGCCAGGCTGGACACTGTTACCCGCGCCCCTCCAGCTTGAGGATCAACCGGACGTGCCCGCACCGAGGCTTTCAGCGCGATTTGGTCCACCAATACCCAGACCTGACGACCCGAATACGCCATTACGTGTCAACAAAGACGGAAAATTCAAGATTGTCCAAATATCTGACACGCACATGGTCACCGGTCCTGGAGTTTGCAACGATGCCATTGACGCAGATGGTCGACCTTTGCCTAGTATTGAAGCTGATCCGAACACGATCAAGTTCATCGGGGAAATTCTGGACGTCGAGAAACCCGACTTGGTGATTCTCAGCGGAGATCAAGTTCATCACGATATCCCGGACACACAATCCCCTCTATTCAAGGTTGTGTCACCTTTGATCAGTCGATCGATTCCTTTCGCGGTTGTTTTTGGGAATCACGACGACGAAGGCACCCATGCGTTGTCACGTTAGTTTCGAAGAACTTTTTCTGTTCAATTTTCTGTGCTGACACTTGTTGACGTAGGCGAAAAGCAAATGGCAATACTGCAAAATCTCCCATTTTGTCTAGCACAGGCTGGCCCCGACTCAGTAGATGGTGTAGGCAACTACTATCTCCAACTCTTTTCCAGCGACGAAAATCAGGTCCCAATAGCAACACTCTTCTTTTTCGACTCTCATGGGCAAATCACGAGTGATGGCAAGAATCCCGATTACGAACCAATCCAGCAGAGTCAAATCCACTGGTTCACCACCACTTCACAGCATCTAAAAAAGACCCGCATTGCAGAGAAAGACAGCAGCTCCCCTTTTCTTTCTTTGGCTTTCATGCACATACCCTTCCCCGAATACGCAGGAGACGATTTGTCGATCAGTGGTGGCAGGCGGAGAGAACCAACCGAAGGTCCGAGCATCAACACGCATCTTTACGATGCCCTGGTGCAAGAAGACGTGTCCGCGGTGGGTTGTGGGCACGATCATGTCAACGACTTCTGCGCTTTATTGCCGAAGTCACAGCGAGTCCAGTTGGTAGAAGGCGACGATCAATTGGTCAAGCATGGCCCGTGGCTCTGTTACAATGGAGGCAGCGGGTTCGGGGGTTACTGTTCCTATGATGAAAATCGTTACCACAGAAGGACACGAGTCTGGGAGATCGACGCGAGCAAGGGCGACTTAAAGACATGGAAGCGCATCGAGTACTCCGGTGACCGATTTGAGGAAGTGGTACTTATAGAAGGTGGCCGAATCACAGCTCCCTCAACGATGTCAGACACCGAGAAGACATGCACAATCCTCTAGAAAGCGAGATCCCATCCTCCGCAAAGACGGCTCAGGAGCAACAATATACAATACGACATTGGTAATGTGATTTTAAGAGGGCAGTGATTTTATTGGATTGAGAGATGGAAGAACCACAGGCTCTGAGTACGATAAGCGTAGCCAAAGTCCGAGGCCAAACACCACACAATCCTGCGAACGAGAGAAGAGCTCCAAAGACCAAATACAAGTACAAGCGCAAGAATGTCCAAGCCAATCAAGATGAGTGGAACACTACAGCCTCGCATGACTGTGGATGTTCCAAACTCGCGAAGTCGAATCGAAAAGCCATCGATAGCAAAAGTCCAACCCCCTCCGCCCTTGGCATCATCAGCCGGAACCTCTGCCACAGTCGGTAAAGGGTAGTCAACTCCTCCATCATCAGTACGTGGGAATGACCTGTCGTTAGTCGTAGCGAATTAGCACATTGTTATCCACGCATCAAATCAAAGATCCTCGTCGTCCATCATGCAGAGGCCGTCGTCGTTCGAGTCCCAGGACTTGCGCTTGTGGAGCGAAGGCACCCATGTACTCTCACGGGACTTGAGGAGCTCCTCGAGGGTGGCGTTCACGTGGTCGGAATCATCAGGGCTGTTGCTCACCTTCGCTCCCTTGTAGGACTGACCCGACGCGGTGAGCAAGTCTGCGACGGACCTCTTGGTCCGAATGACACTGGTAGTGCTGGTGATGTTGTTACGGGGAGCCGAGTCGGCGCTCTCCTGTCCGACGGCGCTCTTGATCTTCTGGGAAGCAGCGTCGACGATGACGGGGACGACCTTGCGCATGGCCGTCTTGGCAATGTCCAACACGGAGGGGGCAATCTTCTGGACGCCGGCCTTGATGACGTCGAAGAAGCCTTCTTCGCCGTTCTGGGGCTCGCTGACGCGAAGCCGGTCGAGCTTCTCCTTGGGAAGCGCCATGAGGGTCTGCAGAGCGGCCTCTGCGGCAGCGGCACGCTTGAACGCGAG